ATATATATATATATATATATATATATATATATATATATATATATATAGTATTCTCTGCTGCATGGAGATTGTTGAATGGGATCATTTATCAGCTTTCTGTGTTCTGCAACAAAATATTACAGCATGTTGTGCTTTTATAAAAGAAGACCAGAACTAGGACCAAACAAAGATAAGGTGGTGACGTCCTCTAATTTTATCTGTAGTTCCCAGAATCCCTTGCCCTTAGCATCCAGAGTCTGCTGGAAATTTAAATCCAGCTGGAGGGATATTAAATTACATACCCCTGCTCTAGGCTATTTAAATGGGACATTTCATTCCTCCCCACATTAACCATTTTTCTTATCTGACAATCACTTTCCTATAGGCACATATAGTTTTGATAAGGTGGTATTTTGATTAGAGTCTCACCAGCCTGAATATACTATTAGAAGGAGGAAATATCACAGTAATGTTTCATTTAAAATGTGTGTTTTGCTGCCATTTCGGAATAAATCCATTTCTCAATTGAAAGTAATTTTCCAACTACTTAAGGAGAGAGAGGGAAGGAGAGAGAGAGAGAGATGAATTTCTGTCTTGAAATAAACACTATATGCAATAAATTTGGCATCCTGGAGACTCGTATGAAAGTGGAAACATTTCAAAACTCTTTACATAGTAATATGGAAGTAATTTGATAAGGAAGAAAGCCTAAACCTGGGTTAACACCCCAGGATAGAGATGGCTCCCAATCTCTCTATAGCTAATGCAATCCAAAGGAAAACAACTTCGCTCCAAATAAAGTGACATGGCACCCAAAATAAATCAGTGCAGCTCATAAAACCAGCCGACATTATGAGATTATATACATTGTGAAAACTGTAGTTCCTGTTTAGAAATACCTAGCCAAGAGATACATAGTTTGGGGAAAAAATCCCCCATTGCTAATAGTTTTCTGAAGTTACAGATTTGTTGTCTTGGTGTTTGATGAATATTTCTGTCACCTTTGTGTCTTCTAACTCTCCCAATTTCAGTTCCATTTTTCTATTTAAAATACTTGCAGAATCATTAAGAGTGAATTCTGTAGAACTTTCATTTACTATGTAGGGGACTTTACAGTAAACTTAACAGGAACATTTCTGAAAAATGTTGTATCTCCTCTGCGTTAATGGCTTGTATCAGTCTTTTTCCATACCACTAATCTTGAGAGATATTGATTTACGGCCATGCTTGCTGGAGATACTGCAAATTATAATCCAACATGATAAAGTGCACTCATCTGAGAGAAGTAGACTACATTATGTTACAGAAAAAATGAAAGGATATCAGAAAATTATAAGTTATGTAAATGGATAATGTAATACTTCTTTGGGCCGAGGAAGAGAAAATGGTTGATTTCTGCAGTTTGTGTTAAACTCTGTTATTGTACTTTTTGTAAATACAGACAGTCCTCAACTTACAACCACAATGAAGCTTGCAATTTATGGTCATAAGTCACAATGCTTATAAAGCAGAACATCATGTGATTTTCTGACATTTTTTTTGCAACCAGTTGTGAGACAAGGATTACCTGAAAGTCTGAAAGAGTTTGCCCCCTTATTACCCATTAGAAATATCTTATTTCAGCAAGCTTTGGGTTTTATGACAGCGTGACTCTATATTTTTACTTCCACATATGTCTTATAAAGAATACCTCTCTCTATCACTGTGCTGTAATTATGGAATCATAGTATTATTTTGTTGAAGGCCGTTTTGCCTGCTTGCCTTGAGTGCTGCCTCTGTTTCCTTATTCAGGCTATGTATGCTGAGAATAGTTTCTAATCATTGTAATATGTGAAATCACAGTTAACAATTGGCAAGATTTCAGTAATTGACAACTGGTAGAAGAATCTCTCCAAAAATATTTGCTTATGAAAAATTTATAATAGAAGGCATTTCTTTAATGGCACTTCTACTGCTAGAAGTGGCTCATGTTACAATTCATAGTACTTGTGTGAAGTATGAAGGATTGTGACAAGTGGCACGTGTAGTGTCTCAATTAAAAAGCTGCATTCTTTGTCAAAGAAAAGAAGACTTTTGTTTATCCTTTTTTATTGTGAACATTTAAAGTGCCTTTTCAAATTTTTGTAACTGTGTCACCATAGCTATTGTACAATATTAACATACCATGATGTTTTTTGTTCAGAATCTTGATTTTGTTTTTAATAAAAAAAATTTCCTTTACATGTTTTTGCTTCTGGTAAAGAAAATGCATTTAGAACAAAAGTTAGCATATTTGTGGCTATTTGTAATAAATCCGACTATTTACAATACACATTGCTTTTAAATGACTTTAATTTGGCTTAGATTAGAAGTGTTTGCATCCTTGAATTGAACACCACTGGTCCTCGCTCAAAATTGCATGGAGCTATTTTCACATTCATTTAGTCTTATATTCATTTTAATTAAACATTCCAACACATTTCAATGGGACTAAGATATTTTGTTTCTGGTGTTGGCACTTTTTCCCCCCAATATATATTTATTATTTTTACATTTAAAACAATGCAGTACCGTGAAGTCGAAGTGACCATACATTATATACAGCTAGTCTCAGCTAGTCTTAACAATTAGCCTACTTAATACATTGTCTATCCTTCTGTCCAATCACAATATATACAGTTTGTTCCAGTCTTGTCACCTTGTCTTATACCAGTCATAAAATCTGTTCCAGACTTCAAAATATTCTGATTCCCTTTTATTTTTAAGTTCAAGAGTGAGCCTATCTGCTTCCGCACAGGCCAACACTTTTCTGATTATATCTAGCTCTGATGGTGTGTTTTCTTTTTTCCAATATTGTGCATAAGTTATGCGCGGTGTTGGCACTTTTTTCATGTGACCTCTAATTGTTAGCAGTCGATAGGAAGATCCAATTCCTCCACTGGAAGGAGGGGGAAGTTTTGTAATAAAGCTCAACTTCCAGCACCTTCTGTGCCTCTAAAATAGTTTTTTTATTGAATATTCTGTTGTGTTCCAGTATGTTGGAGGGTGACTCAGGATAGGAGCTGATATAGATAGAGAGAAAGAATAGTTAAACAAATGAGGCATTAATAAAGGAGAATATATGTAGCTCAGGGTTGATATGAGGGATCGATCCTTGGTGTTCCCTGAGCTTTGCTTATTGTCTTGCAGATGTTTCATTACCCAAACTAGGTAACATCAGTATCAGCAAGCTCAGAGAACACCAAGGATCCCCTCAAATGAGAGGTTTTATTCTGGCACTGATTTCTGTACTAATGAAGTAGAACAAAGTTTTAATATATAGAAGTAGAATATTGTTTCCAGAATAGGAGAAAAAATATAATACATTAAGCCTTAATCTATTTAACTCCCCTCTCTTTAGTCTCTACTTTCTTTTTATAATTTACTATGGTGCCGTCTCCAGATTTGGGTATTGACACGGAGTTTGTCTTGAGTTTTCTCCTGGCTGTCCCACCTTCCAAAAATCTTTAATTCAGTATCCCACCATCCTGCATCTGAACCTCCGTGCATAAAACAGTCATAATTCTTGAGTTATGTTTTGTTAAATGAAGGGTTTCAGAAAATGATAAAAGATTTTGGAAAATTGCTCTAAAGCAGCATATTATCTAGTAGATTCATTGAAGCTCTATAATTTAAAATGAACTCTTGCTAAATTCTTTGCCTTCTTACATGCATGAAGCTACCTTCCAACTAAAATGGCAAACAGAATAATGGAGACAATAGCATTTTTCACAGCAGCATTTTTCTCAAATGGATCACTGTAGCTTAGATGCGAAGTAATGTAACAAGAGGAGAAGCACTCAGTTCCCACTGATCTTTGAGAGCTCTTCTAATTGTAGGTTCACCAGTTCTGGCAGAAGCCAAAATGTTGTTGGGAGAAATAAAGTTCTTCCAACAGAGGTATTTTTTCTACGGGTGTAGATTACGACATTATGCAGAGTGCTAATAAAAGTTCCTTACAACAAAAGACATGCCAAGATCCTTACAACAAAAGAATGCCAAGC